AACATAACAGGTCTTTAAGCCATTCCCCTTTACAAAAACCTGGTTCAATATCATTATACGACCGATTTCGCCAAACACTTCGCCGCGGGCTATTCTTTCATTGGCTTCGAGCCCGCACTTCATGAAGCGCAGCTCCCGATCTTAGATACCGTCAATTTCTCATATATAAGACGATGATGTCTGAAGTACCAATCAAAAGGGGGTAATCTCTGCCCATCGTCACCCGAGAGACAGAGCGGACAATTTCGCGATAGTTCATAAATTCTAGAAGCTCTCAAAGTAACCACTATCAATCATCCCCTAAAATTGTTCATGAACGTGAGATTGTTTTTGTCATGAGGTCCATAGTATCACGTCGAATCGCCTAGCTTCCCATTCACGCTTTCACATTATGCTGCACCACTGTGATATACAGATTCTCATACACTTGTTCGCATCAATTTCAATTAGGAATATAAAAGATCATGTCATTTAGCGTTGCGATCAAGTGTGGCGATCTAGGAACATAGACCGCTAGTCCGGCCAGTGACTCATTGGCACGACGCCAAGCATGCGACTACTGTGAATTTATAGCGACGATATTGTCACATCCCAATCCCACGCACGACACAAATTTCTACTCGAACTACACTCCAGCCCCAAACCGTCGATCATAACCGCCTTCACACTCCCTTTATCCCACAATGTCCCCCCAAATAACCGCCGGAGACCCAGCCTTCAACTCCATCCGCTATCTCCCCACCAACGAAGCCTACGACAAATGGGCGAAAGTCTACGACAGCGACGGCAACTTCCTACAAGCTCTCGACGATATTGAACTCGGGACTCTCTTCCCGCGCTTCGTAGCATCAATCAAGACGCCGCAGCCCTGGCGCCTTGTGGACTTAGGGTGCGGCACGGGGCGCAACACAGCGCATCTCCTCAGTCTCGCGGACAATGATGAGACTGAAATCGTCGCGCTAGACGCGAGCCAAGGCATGCTCGACGTCGCGAGGACACGCCTCTCTGCACTCACCAACAACACAACGAATCTGCGTCTTGAAATCTTCGACATGCTCACTCCCACACCCTCCACAACAGACAAAACTCCCACATCCGTGGCCCCGAACAGTGTAGACGGGCTGATCAGCACGCTCGTAATCGAACACGTCCCCCTGGCGACATTCTTCGCGCACGTCGGGCGACTGCTCCGGCCCGGCGGCGTGTTGTTGCTGACCAACATGCACGCGGACATGGGCGCGGTCTCGCAGGCCGGGTTCGTGGACCCGGAGACGCGGGAGAAGATCCGGCCGACGAGCTATGCGCACACCGTCGCGGACGTGGTTCGCGAGGCGCGGAAGTGCGGGCTAGAGGTGGAAGTAGAGGATGATGGTGATGATGAGCAGGGAGTTGGGGTTGGGATTACTGAGAGGGCGGTTAGTGAGGATATGGTTGAGATGCTTGGTTTGAGGAGCAAGAAGTGGGTTGGCGTCACATGTTGGTTTGGGGGCATATTTCGTAAGGTAGATGTACATCTTTCAGGATGAGCGGAAATAATTAATCTTTATGCCAATGTTGTATTATTGATCAAGAGGTAATATAACCTGCTTTTTATGCTACTCTAGGGATAATAGTGAGTGAAGCTGGGGATACAAGACTATTTGAATAATGACAAAACTCAAAGATTAACACTGAAATTGAAAAATATCACTTGCACAGTGATATCATCTCTTATGTCTCGACAAAGCGGAGCGTTGACGGCCAACCGACTCGCTATCATCTCATGATGATTTCCACCTAGAGCGTTGCGGACCAAGTGAACGGCAACATTCTGATCTTGGATTGTCGTCCGGCAATCAACGAACCGGCGGCTCAGCCCTTCACTGAACATTGAAAATCGGAATGGTTCATATTGCGGGATTGGCGAAGTTTGACTTCGGCTGTCTGCAGTACGTTCCTTTTCATACAGCCATTTGTTTACGAGCTCGACAGCCTGCTGACTGGTGATCAAGTCCCAAAATCCAGCCGTTGCCATAATCAAGAAACAAAGCTCGCTTGAATCGATGCTGGTAGTTGTTACCTCTGGCGTAGCTGTCAGGTATGGTGGCGTTTTAAAATCTTCCGGTTGCGGAGGAATGAACCATTTGGCAGGAAAATGCCTGAGTAGTAGACCCCGAAATGTTGGCCGCAATTTCCATCGGACGTCACCGAAGGCTCGTGTGACCCCTAGCCCAAAGAGTTTTCCGTCTTTTATCATGTTTGGCTCGCCACGATGCCGCTTTGTAAGCAGCTTGACCTCTTCTTCATTATGGCAGGTATGGTCCTTCGATAGAACCCGTGTCCACCTTTTGTCCCCTGTATTCTGTACGTAGCCCAGCACTGCTCGCGAATCACCAGTGCAGGCAACATGGAGTTGCCTCGTGTCGGGGTCAAAAATTGATAGCAATGCGCATGAGCCGGAGGCGCAAGGGGCAATTTTCTTCATGCCATCTGGGAAGAATTGGGAATTGCAAGCGGAACTGGCACTTTTAGTGATCGAGCGGTCAAGTGCATAGAACCCAGATATCATGGCATATTCAACATCACTTGGCTGATATCCTCGCTGAAAGTCCATGCACTCGCTCAACTTCTGTCGAACGAAGGATAGGAGATGTCTGGCCAGAAAATCTGCTGTCTCCCAGCCGTTGTGGCCGTCGAAGATTCCCCATGCAATCCAGTCGTAGCGACCTCCAAAAGGCGGGGGGAATTTGGCCTGTGTGAGCCGATCTTCACTAAAAGCGTACGTGAGTGAGCGGCTTGTTATGTTCACATAAGGAAAAAGCACATTTCAATTCTGACGGGTATTGCCAAAGACATGGTGATATCGTAGATTAGAACTGAATTTTGCGAGATCAATCAATGGACAACTGAGAAATACTGACCATGGAGAATTGGAGGCTAGTTGAGTACTATCGAATCTAGTAACGTAGCGAGTACCGTTAATAATATACGAATATGCCTCGTCCGATATCATGCGCGTTACATCTTCTTCGGAAGGGCGCTTGCTGAAGATGAGGTCGTAAAGGTCGTAATTTGGTGGGCCAAGAGAGGGCATTTCTCTGCACTTGTTTGCTGGTGAATTCTCTAACAGACTCGTTTTTCCTGTAGAATATGATGCTGCATCCTGAGAACTAACAGAATTCTCAGAAACAGAATTCTCAGATCCATCGGCAGCTAATTCAAACCCAGGGGTTTCGAACCCTCGAAGAAGCTGTGTGTTGTCCATTGGTTGGGGCATTATGGCGCGGCTAGTGGAGTATCTTGTAGGGATATCGCGTACAAGAAATGTAGACTCCAAAGCAGACGAAAATAGAAGGCTGTGTCAAAATAAGGAGGCCGTGAATCCCAGTCGAGAACTAGTGAGATATATACTGGTCCGCGACGAATGTTGTTGGGTTGAAAATGCATCCATTTATGATAAATATTGCTGACACCAAATGTTGTGAAGCTTCCGAAGATATCTCGATGTATAACGTAGGCAGTTCCCTGGAAAGCTTCACTGCGGTTTCTTTCAGATGATATTATACATATAGACAGAAAGAACGATGACATAGAGCTAGAAGCAACGACGCGTAGCTAAGCACTTCAGAAGACCCGAACTTGCCCACATACCTACATGTACCGTAGGTACCTACTTGTCACTCAACGGTGTAGCCCATGTTGAGTTAGGCACCTACAGGTACCGCAATGTCCTTTCTTCGTTCTTTCCATATCATTTGCTTGATACCGCCGGTCAAAGCTTCAGATATGAAAGAAACCTCCGTACCTTGTGCTCTGCTCATTCATGAAGTAATCGGAAGAAGTTGTCCATCACGGTCTTCTCATGGTGGAATTCACCTACGCGTGACGGAACAGCTTCGGAAAATCGCAACTAAAACTCGGCGCCAACTTGCTATATTACATGATTGAGCATCGCGCTTCAGACTCCAGCTCTCCAACATGTCTCCTACAGTGTTAAAGAACGATTCTGTGCTTGATTTCTCATCGTCGCAATACGGCACTATAATATTGCTCTCATACTTCTTATCGGCTCTAAATTGCCCCCATCATCTACGAATGGCATACCTAGCATTGGGGTTAAGATCTTTTGTTATTATTACGCTCAGGCTTGGGCATAGTCGAAGTCTACTGCACCCGACCCAGGAGCCGTACTCAGGTAACTTCTAAGGCGGTGTCCTGCGTCGCATCGCACCCGCTCAACCAAGTATGGGTACCAGTTACGGTAAAAAATTCCACACACGCGCACACAGATTGCGGAGATCTAATTACTCCATCTCATCAAGTTTATGTGGTGTGTCAAAGTTCAATCAGAAGGCGCGTAACTGTAACAAAAGCTAACTATATGGCGAGCAATACCGCGAATACGAATAAAGCTGTCAGATGCCGTAGGGATTCGATGGAGAGTAAGATATAATCATTTTGCTCGTCGTCCATCACTAGTGAGTATATGCAAGAATTTCCGGAGACTGATAGTAGAGCGTTGAAATGTAAATGAGCCAATAGTAGAGAATGCATATGTCTAGACCTTCAGGACGGCACTTACTCACTCGAGACTGAAATTAGTGTAGATAGAACCATAGTAAGTTAGAATTGCGATACGCTTTCCGTTCAGCAACATCACTGCTGATGTTTGAATGTGTAAGACAAGCATAGGGTAAATTTTGAATAACATGAATGACACAATCTTGGCAGACCTTCGATTTTTCTACATTTTCAGCAGTTGCTCTTGCATGTTTCGCGTGAAACTCAGGGATACTGTAGCTCAAATCTGCACGACTAACAAATGGGTTTATGCTACTGCTGCTATCAGGTATGCCACTCTTTGCAGCGAATGATTTACTATCCTTAATTCAAATCGAACATGCACGGTTTCATCATGTTGTGTGTGGTACTGTATGCTCACTATAGCCGCGGCAGAATGTAAGTTATGTTTGTGTCGGTGAACTTGCATCAGCACTTAGGATGCTCCTCAAAACTATAGTGGCCTCGTGGCCCAATGGCAAGGCGTCTGACTACGATTTCATGAATAGTAATCAGGAGATTCTGGGTTCGACCCCCAGCGAGGTCAATTCTTTTTCCTCAAAATCCTTTCAATCAATGATTTTCCCATTGCGCATAGCTAGCTCAATTTTTTAATGATGTGGGTTTTGACCCTACCGCATTTGTATGCTCTCCATAACTGCGCGGTCACATAGCTGTTATGAAGTTTATTCATTACACCGACGAAGTTTTAAACTTGGGTAAATAGACCGTGCGATTATCAAGCGTGGCCGATACCCCACGCGAAGCAACTCCCGCTCGTACAAGTGAGATCAAACCAAGCCATGACCGTCGTTTCTTGGTTCTGAATGTTATGCGGCACGTTCGCGGCACTGTAGGCCTGAAACCAGTTGTTGGCGCCGTACACATACTTTGTCCAATTGCTAACGGGCGTGTTAGGCGTCGTGCTAGTGGGAGTTTGACTGTAACCCAACACGGCGTTCCACTCTTTAACCTCCTCTTTGAAATTCTGGTAGTTCAGCGTCTCGTCAACCGTGCCGTGGAAGATCTGCATCTTCGGCCGCCATCCGCTGTATCCGGGATACGCTGCCGTGACTAGCGCCGCCCACTCCGCTGGCGTGCGGGTGATCTTCCCCGTCGCGCAGGCATCGCTCCAGACGCCGTATCCGTTCCCGTTCGCAGCAGCGAAGCACCCGAACGGAACCCCGGCGAACGCGGAGCCGGCGGCGAAAACGTCCGGATACGCGCCGATCAATGTACTGGTCATCATGGCGCCCGAGGATACGCCGGTGACGAATACGCGCTTGGCATCGCCGTTGTACTTCTTCAGCGTCCAGCGCACCATGCTGACGATCCCTAGACTGTCGCCGCCCGCGTCGTGCTGCAGCGTCGCGTTCGACGACACGTCCCAGCACTTGTCCGCCGTGTTCGGGCTGTCCGGGTAGATGACGATGAACCCGTACTTTGAAGCCAGAGTCGCGAACTGCGATCCCGCGTAGCATGCTTGTGCGTCCCCGTGGCACCAGTGCGGGTTCACGAGGATCGGCGGACGCGCTGCGAGCTTGTCAGGTACGTAGATGTAGAAGCCGACGTTTCTGGGATTCGGCCCAATGTCTTCGGTTACTCGGGTCAGCGAGGCGGCGTTTGCTCCGGTTAGGAGACCGAGCCCGGATAATACCCAGGATGTCCAGCGCATGTTGGATTATTGCTTGTTGATGTGTTGTAAAATCAAATATGAAATCACGATCAAGTATTAGGCCTGCTCGACGGTTAGTCAGACTATATATACTCACCGGTGGCCATGCATCTTGAGGTACTCCAACGTATGATATTAGTCTGCCACCATTAGTTGAGGGCGGAGAGTAGTGCTCCGGGGGCCATTCTTGGGCAAGGCGATGGTAGCGCCGCTCATCACTTGGCCTGGATGTCCGTCGAGCTTACAGCAACGGCACTCAAGTTGCATCGGCCAGATTTAAAATCTAGATCTTATTTCTTGGCTTTGTTGCCCAGGCACGTCCTTTATTTCCAATGCCACCCACCTCACGGGCGACGAGTAACTCCATGAAGCATCATCCCGTAGCTTATTCTCAGCTGGCCAATAGGCGTGAGGCTAGTTGCCTGTTTGGGCATATGGGGTCTCTAGCCAACGCTAAGGGAGCATTCTCCAGTTGAGACGTTTATTATGGCAGTCAGACGGCTACTTTAACTCTTTGAATAAAGAAAAATAGGAATTTGAAAGTAGGAATTATCTATGGTGAGAATCTTCATCGTTTGCTGGTTTCACTAAAACGAGAGTCGGGTTGCGGGTTAGTAGTGATTGCTAGCTTAAGCGATGCTTCGTACACTCCTAGATATGGCTCACGACAATTCTATTGGATCGATTTTACGATATGGGAAGGTTTGCATCGAATTTCGAGTTAGCTAGTCAAATCTCAAGATAGTGAATGTTTCACTGACTTGCTAAATACAACTGTCGCCATAATAGCACGCATCGCTTGTACGCATTGAGCTGGCAGTCGACCCCCTAACCTCCGATAAACCTCATTTTTCTTCTTTAAAGGCGGATAGGCGCATCTCCTCCGATCAAATGATTCCAGCTCGGCGAACACATGTCAAAAGATGAAACAACCCTTTATTATGCTCTCATCGATTATCCGCATTTCTCTCGTCCGTTCTTAGCCCTGTCGTAGCACGGATGGCACACTTTTCTTCCCGATTTATCGAGGGCAGGTGTCAGAGATATCTCGAGGTTGCTGTGGCCGCCAGGCTTGCATTTGCATTCACATTGAGCCCATGGGTATTTCGTATCTGGGTGGCCGGGCTCGCCGGCGACCTTATCTATGGTGCCATAGTAAAGGTTCAAGTGACTGGCGGAATCCGACGATGTTGAGCTCTTCTGTGTCGAGGAAGATGGCTTATCTTGAATTGAGGACGATGAACCCTGCTGTGCTGAAGAAGACATGATTAGAATAGTGTAAGAAGTTTGGGGTCGAAATATCGTGCTTTGCAACTTTAGGCGTTTGGTCAGTCCCTTGAGTTTCTTTTCGATATTGTGCACGATTGATTTCTTCCTCTCAGATCATAGGCATGCATGTAAGAGAAGAGAAGAGAAAAGAAGGAAACGAGGGAAATTTTCAAGTGCCTTCTTGAGATTCTTATTGTACGCCGCTCACGTCGAACCAAGAATGCCGTGTCAGTACATAGTCCGGAATCGTATCCCTTCGCCTATAACAATTCAATCATGAGATGGGGAAGACTATTGCACAAGCACTATGGGTGAAACTGCCGCTACTCGAAGATTACGTCACAAGGAAAATGATTCAACGATCGTAGTGAGTCAGTGATACGCCTGACAGGTTTAACCAAGTGCCTATTTGACGGGTCGATCGTCGTGTTACCCGAAAAGCCGCCTGGTACTCGAAGACGAGACTCTGTGCAAGCGTCTGGCCTAGACTTCCGTGTAACCGGCCGGCGGGCGCTGGGACGATGTCCGGATATCGGCAGTTACTCGCTACTCTGGATTTGTACGACAAGAATTTAACAGTACTGTCTTCAGTGTTGAGAGTTTTCAGACGTTGTTGGCGAGTTGATCGTGTTCCGCATTTATAAATGCTGCGAAGCGACTTGCATTTTGGTTCCTAAATTTCATAAGTGATCATAGTAGATGCCTGGTCATGTCAGCCACCACAGCGGCTGCAGCGACCTTGATCGCGCAGGGAATCTTAGCCAACGTGGTGGCTGCAATATTCCGGCGCCACTTCTCGTAGCTAGGCGATGCCGATTAGGGTCTGAAAGCGTTTCAGTAGCATCTTCGAATATAATAACTGTCTTTTTGTAGCCTGTATATGTTGAGGCTTCTATGCCTATTATGGTCTATGCTTGAGAGCATATTTGACTCTATCACCGAGACTAAGCTGCAGACCATAGCTAACTGGTAATATGATATACTATTTCACAGCATGTTTCACGTCACTCCATTCCAGCCAACATCTTCATACAGGTTTATCAACATGATCGCATTCAAAAGTATCCAGTATGGTAATATAGAGGTAGCAAGATTTCCTTTTATCTGTGAGTAGGTAGTTTATGATGTGTGTAGTGACAAATAGGTGCTAGCATGTACCTAGCACCCATTCGTAGTCACTATCTCGGCCGCCGTGATAGCCAGTATTTATTGGGTTTGGCAGCGCAGTGGTTATTGTGTTACTGTATGTACAATCACCATGATTCCTTATTAAACACGCTGTATTATACCAGAAACAATCGCTACTGGTCTATAATACTCTGTTGATTTACGATTTAACAAGTGTATATCTTCGGAAGTAATTCTTGACTAGTCTTTGCTATTTTTTGTTCTAGAGAGAATTTTGACTTCAGACTCGCGCCATCTGTATTATCGCGGTACTAGATTAGGCAGTGCTGAATGGCCTGTGCTATGCGACACGGCTCTGCTACAGTACCTCTGCTGTCATTGAAACATAAAATGCGGACTACATATACTGCATCATAAACTACATCTCACATCTTTGTGAAGTGATAATAGGCTGACCAAAATATCTAGGATCAGATATTGATAGTGAGAGCAGCAACATTGTCACATCGTATGGGTGCTCTGATCTCCATGCACACAAAAAGTATGCATGCGAATAGCGCTGACCTGTCGAAGTTTAGTTCTGAACCAAATAAGTAGGTAGTTAGCTGCTCTTCGGAAATGCATTTCGCCTGTAGAATAGGTATTTCATCTATATCTATTGGATAGTATGAGTGTATGACTTCCATGGACATTCGAGCGGGAGAGGACAGAGCCATACTGTATGGCTTGCCGATGCTAGTGGGTGTGGTGTTGTTGTTGGTTTTGAAGCATATGCAAACTCTCCTTCTGAAACATGGCTAGAGCGCTGCGCCGTAGCTGAAGAATTGCCGCCTATCACCTGAGGAACGAGTGTGCTGCATGCTACGCATTCAGGGGACCAATTAGCAAGGGTGCAGCGCTTAAATGGGGTTTCGGCCAATGATAAACGTGGTCCTCAGCCCCAACCCCTCCATGACGAACGCATCTGCAGCAACCTTGGAACCCCAGTCACTAACACGTGCTTATGATTTAAGGTGAGCACCCTGGCATGAAGCTAGAAAGCCTAGGGGCTGACGCGAAGGCGGACTGAGCAGTGAAGACGGAGCTGAAGGAGAACCTTCTCGGGACTACGAAGTGGACGCGACACCACGCCTAGTTCGCCTACAGACTGCCCATTACTCATATACAAGCTTCTATCCCGGACGCCCGCGAATCCCTACTCCCTAGAGGCGATACCCATACTTATACCATTTATGCGAAGTCTATCAAGTTTTGATATCTATAATGGCGACGGTCTCACTCGATGCAGAGGCCATTGAGCAGCTCGGTGGTGACCGTAAGACTCTACTAGATGCTATAGACGGCTTGCGGAAGCACGGCATCGGGCGTTTCATAGACCTTCCCCAAATTATTGTCGTCGGTGATCAGTCTTCGGGCAAGTCCTCAGTACTCGAGGCCATCTCGCGTGTTCGTTTCCCTGTGAAAGATGGAGTGTG